TTAGTGATTAGATGATAAAATATTGAGGAAACGATGTTAGGATTACTTACCCAACGAGTTGTGGAGGAAAGGGAACTTGAATTTCGTCTATGGAGGATTTGAGAGAGAGGTTCGTGTGAAGAAGATGGCAAAATCCCGTAATGGCTACTGTTTTAGGCTTTTAAAATAACTGGGCAAAATTGTTCATCGCGTTGGCGACACCCCGGTCGCGTTCGCGATGAAGGAAAATGGGCAGGCATCGCGTTCGCGTGAAGGGGAAGGCGAACGCGTAGAAGAAAATGCTGGGGGGGGGGTCCAGGTTTGTTCTATGCGAACGCGTAAAAGGCCTCGCGAACGCGATGGAGGGAGCAGCAAGTCTATGCGTTCGCGAACATCTGACTGCGAACGCGAAGAGGAAGTCTTAGGTCCTGAACTTGACTTACGCGATCGCGCTTATGGAGATGCGAACGCGTAGAAGGGGAACACCATGAGCAGTGCGAACGCGAGCCTAAGGCCGCGATCGCGAAGAAGAAAAGGCCTGTGCAAAAATTGCAGAAAATCTGCTAACTTTCCTAAGTGTAAAACACCCCGAACCACCTCCGAAACACTCCCGAGCCCTCGGGGCTCCCAACCAGACAGACACACTAACTCAATATCATCCTACGAACTTGCTCGAGCGATCAAATCGCGAAAATAACATCAAAATCAAAGAATCAAACCTCAAAACTCATGATTTTCATTTCAAAGTTCAAAAACTTCCAACTTTAGCTATTTAGGTCCGAAACACGTCAAACGACGTCCGATTTCGACCAAATTACACAGGAAGCGCTTAAGGCATATTTAAGACCTGTACCGGGCGTCGGAACCAAAATACGAGCCCGATACCTATATTTTCTAACTCATTTTCATTTCCATTTTTCCTTATTAATTTCAGAAAACAATTTATCAGAAAAATTCTTTTACCGGGGTTCTGGACCTCGGATTTTGACTCCGGGCATATGCCCGAGTCCCATATTTTTCTACGGACATCCCGGGACCGTCACATCACGGGTCCGGGTCCGTTTACCCAAAATGTTGACCAAAGTCAACTATATCAATATTAATATCATAATTCATCAAATTTTTCACAGGATTCATATATTTTAACATAAAAATTTTCCGGCCTCGCGCCCGGAGTGCGCACGCAAATCGAGGCAACAAAAACTGAGGTTTCCAAGGCCTCGGAAGCACAGAACGAATGAGGAAACAGGTGATGACCCTTTGGGTCGTCACATTTTCCACCTCTAAAATAACATTTCGTCCTCGAACGGACAAAAGAAAGAAGTACCTGAGTCAGGAAATAGATGAGGATAACGGCTACGCATATCAGACTCGGACTCCCAAGTCGATGCCTTAGGAGGCTGACCTCTCCACTGAACACGCACTGAAGGAAAGCTCTTCGACCTCAACTGTCGAACCTGCCGGTCTAGAATGGCTACCGGCTCCTCCTCGTAAGACAGATCCTTGTCCAACTGGACAATGCTGAAATCTAACACGTGGGCTGGATCGCCGTGGTACCTCCGAAGCATGGACATATGAAACACCGGGTGCACGGCTGACAAGCTGGGCGGCAAGGCAAGTCTGTAAGCCACCTCTCCCACACGATCGAGAATCTCAAATGGGCCAATGAACCTAGGGCTAAGCTTGCCCTTCTTCCCAAATCTCATCACGCCCTTCATAGGCGACACTCGGAGCAAGACCCGCTCACCAACCATGAAAGCTACATCTCAAACCTTACGATCCGCATAACTCTTTTGCCGCGACTGAGCCGAACGAAGCCTGTCCTGAATGATCTTGACCTTATCCAAGGCCTCCTGAACTAAATCTGTACCCAATAATCGATCCTCTCCCGGCTCAAACCATCTGACTGGAGTCCGACATCGCCTACCATATAACGCCTCATATGGAGCCATCTGAATGCTGGACTGGTAGCTGTTGTTGTAGGCGAACTCTGCTAAAGGTAAGAACTAGTCCCACGAGCCTCCGAAATCAATGACACGGGCTCGGAGCATATCCTCTAATATCTGAATAGTCCTCTCGGACTGGCCGTCCGTCTGAGGATGGAACGCGGTGCTCAACTGAACCTGGGTGCCCAACTCCTACTGAACTGCCCTCCAGAAGCGCGAGGTAAACTGCGTACCCCGATCCGAAATAATAGATACCGGCACCCCATGAAGGCGAACAATCTCTCGGATGTAGACCTCAGCTAACCTCTCCGATGAATAGGTGGCTGCAACAGGAATAAAATGTGCTGACTTGGTCAGCCTATCAACAATGACCCAAATAGCATCAAACCTCTTCCGAGTCATCGGAAGTCCAGTAACGAAATCCATAGTAATACTCTCCCACTTCCACTCGGGAAGCTCAATCCTCTGATACCAACTTGTCACGACTCGGATTTTTCCCACCATCGGGCGTCGTGACGGCGCCTACTAACGGAGCTAGGCCAGCCATACATTAAATATTCGCTATTCAATCTCAACAACATAATATACTAACAACAGTTAAAGAAATGCGAAAGACTTTAAGTTTAACAAAAGATATAAAAATGCGGAAGTTTGAAACACATCCCTACCCAAAATCTGGTGTCACTAGCTCACGGACTACTATAGAATACTACAACAAGTCTGAATGAAAGAAATACACATGTCTGTTTCGATACAATGAAAATAAACTGAAATAAGGAAAGGGACTTCGGCCTGCGAACGCCAGCTAGGCTACCTCGAGAGTTCCTGGACTGAAGATAGCTCCCGGATAAGAATCCTACTGCTGCTGTCCAAAAGCTGCACCTGGATCTGTGCACAAAGAAATGCACAGAGTGTAGCATCAGCACAACCGACCCCATGTGCTGGTAAGTGCCTGGCCTAACCTCGGCGAAGTAGTGACGAGGCTAGACAGGACTACCAAACCAACCTGTACAATTTTTATACACAAATATGCAATAAAAGGAAAGAAAATACCGAAACTAAACAGTTAAAAGGGGGGGAAACATGCTATGGGGAAAGTACAATTTGGATATAAAGTTCATCAGCGTAATTAAGAAACATGGCACAACAATAATTATCAAAGAATAAGAAATTCAATAGTTGCACGGCATCACCCTTCGTGCTTTTACTCTCAATCTCACCCAAAGCAATCAAATAAAATGCACGGCATCACCCTTCGTGCTTTCCCTCACGTAGCTCTCATCTCAAGGCACGGAATGACCCTTCGTGCAAATATAATCAAATCAGAGCACGGAATGGACCTTCATGCATAAATAGTCAAAACATAGCACGGAATGACCCTTCGTGCAATTATAATCAAGAATAGCACGAAATGACCTTCGTGCAATTTCACTCTTCCTCACCCAAACAACAGTCACAACCAAACGGGCAAGAGGAATAAACAAGTAATATGAACTATCCCGGCAAGGGAATAACACAAATAACAACCAAGTCCCGGCAAGGGAACAATAACAATATCTTTCACAACCCGGCAAGGGCAATACTCACTGTAATCAACCCATCCCGGCAAGGGATTAATCACAACTCTTTTCAATACGT